TTTTTTTAATGTATTACTTGGCTTTAATTTGAGTATGTTTTTCGCGTTGGAACGAATTATTTGGTTTTACATGTAATCGTATGGGAAAAGATGATCCACCTTACGACATTTTCATGATACGATCTCAGTTTCGGAACGGATTAATTTCGTATCCTGAGGTACCACTGTAATATTAAATCAAATGCAAATTCTATTTTTTTCTTTTTTGCAACAGTACATGGATGGATTTTCAAATTATAAGAATTGTTTAAAAATACTATTGTATATACCAGCGGTTCCCAAAGTGTGTGCTGTGGCTTCCTCATGGATGCCACAAAATGTTATAAAGTTTTTATAATGTTAGAATTTAATGTGCTTGTTAAAATTTGATATAGTGTGTCTTGGAAAACTCTGTATTTAGCAAGGGTGCCTAGAATCAAAAAAGTTTGGGAACCACTGGTCCATCATGCTGTGGAGGTTTTGAGGATCTGTGAGATGAGAAACATAGAGAACCACTGATATAGCAAATACCCGATACATCAGATTTTGTAAATGTTTTGTATATTAGAAAATGGTGCATCTTTTTTGAGAATTCATTGATTCATTAACTATGTATAATTATATTTTATATTTTGTCTGTTGTATCATATATGTATATTCTTGATTTTTAGTGTAAATGTGGAGTAAAATTATAAATAAGGTAAAGAATCTATTTGTAATAACTCCTCTAATTATTTTTGATTGGAAAAACACAATTTATATTAATAAGAATAATGAAGAGAAGAAAATTTTATTTTTTTATCATTGTGTTAAATTAAAAAGAACTACCTAGCCATATGTTAATTATTAAATAATTTTTTAAAATTCTAATATAATTTTAAAATAATATACAAGGACTATCCAGAAAGTAATTTCTGTTTTCATGTGGTACTGGCAGTAGTGAAGATAATGGTACTATGGCAGCAGTGTAGAGTGAGTCAGTATGCCTCCTTTGTGGAAGGGTGCAGGTTGTGCTTTCTGTTGTCTTGCCTCAACTGCCATTCAGAATCCTGTCAGGTGTGAGCATACCTCATAGCTGGCAGAATTCTGAATGGCATTTAATAAGATTTCTGTTAGCCGAAAAACTGTAAAGATGCTGAAATCTATTGTCAACTGTATGAAGTTTATGGAAAGTACATAGTTAGGGTGGAGTGAGACAATAATGCCATATGTTCAAAAATGGAAGGACAGATGCTCACAATCAGCAGTGAAGTGGCTGGCTATCTATGATGACTTGATTTGTACATAAAATCTATGAAAAAGTTAGAGAGAATTCCCTATTCACAATTTTGGAACTTTCTAGTGAGTTTCCATAGATTTCACAAATGTTTCTTCATGAAGTAATCATTGGCATGGCTGAAATCACAGGCAGCAAAGTTCTATGAAATTGAATGCAAAAACTTGTAATGCACTATGACAAGTGTTTAAATTTGGCTGGAGACTACATTGAAAAGTAGTGCAAAAGTGTGATTTTAAGTTGTGTAATAAAATTTCTTCATTGTACTGATGTTTTTAATAACCAAACAGATGTTTCTTTCTGGCTAGCCTATGTATAAATAGCAACTGATTTTTAATACTATAAATCCAATTTAAATGTTATCATTATATGTAATTTCTTATAGGTATTTTGGTTTTTGTATTCAAAACTATAATTTTGTCATGTCTATAAAGTTGCTAATTATTTCTATTTTTGAGTAATAACAAGAGTACTTTATTTTCTTTTCATTTTCTTTGATTAGTTTGATACATACTCAATTTTTAGTTTATTCTCATTACTACTATGTGCAAAATAGCACTCCTACCATGAAGAATATTTTATTTTGAGCATAAAAATAGTCTATTTTTTTATGTAACAAACTCTGAATTTTTGTATTTAGTAAACTGCAAATTCTTATACTCCAAATAAACATTCAAATAAAATAATTTTTTAACATTTTGATTGTGATTTCTTTCTATATTATCTATTAAAGAATTGTTACCTATATTTTTTTTCACATTAAAATAATATATACAACATAATCAAAAATAAATAGAAATTTCAAGTGGTGACAGCTTCAATCAGTTGATCATTTCATGTGCTGTAGTTGAAATTTTAACATTTAATAACAAATTTTAACAAGCTAAAGTATGTTAAGCATATTCACTAAGATACAAGAACACTATCTCAGTAAAGGTAGTGCATCAAATGGCTGCTGCTGAAATTTGAAATGTCCAAAATGGAAATTTTGCTGTAAGTTCAGGATATCTTGTAGCAAACCTTCAAAATTGTTAAGAATGATTTTTGGTGAAGACACTGTCAAAGACCTGAATATTTGAGTGGTAAGAGATGTGATACAGATGTGGAAGATGGGCAACAGCAGGTAATGCAGAAGTTATCACTAGGATTCAGGAGGAAATTAGATTAGATCATTTGAAATTAATAGACACTTTGGTTCAAATGATTATTTCATCTCTATATCCAAGATCCTCTGTGATAATTTCAAGATGATGTGCAACACACATGCAATGCAAGTGTTCAAAGTCCAGTAGTATTTGGCAAAAACAAAATTTTTGTGCTCAACATTCATCCTCTCTCCTAATCTTACTTTGGTGAATTTTTTTTTCTCTTTCTGACATTAAAGGAGTGTTATCTTGCATTATCACAGGAAGTTGAGTGTGTTTCATTACAAGTTATCTAATAAATGTCCAAAAAAATGGGCTTCAGGAACACTTCTAGTTATGGCACGGATATTAGCAAAAGTGTATGATAGCAAATAATTACTATTTTGATGACATTGTATTGTAACTTATATCTAATCTCACAATAAAATATATTTTTTCTTGTTTATTTTTATTCTATACATTGATTGAACCAAATGATATATTACTGGAATTGAACTAGCAGTTATAAAATATAGATTTTATTTAGTTCTCAATTACTGTTATGTTCCAGTTATTTTAATTAATAATAATTTATAATATAAAATTCATTTTAAAAAATGAAACTAAATACAGTGGGTGATCGGTTAACAAACGTAATCCGTTCCAAGACTTTGTTCGCTATCCGAATTGTTCATTAACCGATTATCGATTTACCATAGGTTTCTATGGGAATTTGATTAATTGGTTCTGGAGACCCCCCAAAATAAAAAAATATATACTTTCTTACTACCTTTATTTATATGTATTGATGATAAAAATACATACATACATAGTCTTGCGTTTTTATTAGTCGTGTTTTTTTTTTGTTTGAAAGGGTTAAAGAATCTGTCTAATGTCGATTGCTTTTCTCTCTTCTTCAGGATTTTTCGTAAGTAATTAATAGCATTGCAATTGCAGAAATCCCCAAGCCTTAACCTGGTTTGGATGCCATTCTAAGACCGTTGTTCTGACATCCTCCCACTTCTTCAAAGGATCTTTAATATAAGATATCGGCATTAATCCTCTTTTTCAGAAGAAAACATATCTCGCCGAGTTTCTTGGTGTTCTTCATTCAAGAGTTCTTGGCGTTCTTCTGTCGTCAGATCCATTTCGTGTTCCATTATGAACTGTTCGATATTCTTTATTTCTCAGATGTGATTTTTGTTACTCCTTTAGCTGCTTGAGTCTTCTTGATTATACAGTATGTTTCTTAAATAAGATTGAACTTCAGCCTACTGTAGACCTGTTTACGCCATACTGCCCAGCAACATTAGGCATCTTCTGCCCACTCTCTACCTTTGCTATTATACTCTCACCTTTCGAAAAGAAAAACAGACGCAAAACTTAACGAGTGCCTACCCGACAGTCTCACGAATACATAAAATAATTGTTTTGTCAGAAAAATAAAAGGCTGAAATTACAAGGAAGAGTTTCAAAGTTCGGAGGAATAATATCCGATCGGTATATATCGGCTTGAGCGTCGATGTCGACGTCTCCCACACTCCGAAAAGTTTCGAATTGTTGCCCGAAGACAAGGGAAGACCAATCGGTATTCATTAATTTACGTCGCTTCTTCTTGTGTTTGTTCTGTGGGGTGTTCGTTATCCGATCATGTGTTCGTTGTCCGAACATAAAAATCTTTCGCGAAAGTGTTCGTTATGCGATCTGTTCGTTAACCGATCACCCACTGTACTCCTTAAGTATTATTTATGGCATAATTTAAAATACAAATTCAAATAAAGTTTAGATTAGGACTTCTTAAGCTTTCCTATTTGCCAACCCAACCCCTTTACCTGAGAGAATGCTATGCCACTCCCAGTATGTAAAATGAGTATACAATTAAAGTCGCTTATTATTGATAAATCATAAAACTGTTTATTCCAAAACAATTCTTTGATATATATATTATTTTGCCATTTCTTAAAGACAAAAGCAAATTGCATACTATTGAGATGGATGCACTTGTTTATTTTTACATAAAAAAGTAAATTTTGCCTGAATATTTGATACTGCAGGAGGCAGGGCATCTTCACTGTTTTTCAGAATTTACTGACATTTTACATTATTTTTTATTTGTATTTTGTTAATTCATAATAGTCTATAATTGATTGTTGGAATGTCATGAATATTTAAAACTTATTTTGATTTTTATTATGAAGCTTCATTCAACTATTAATAAAAATGGCAACTGAAATTTTTTATGAACTATATCATTATTTGAATATAAAAAATTTACCATTTTTCATATGGTTAAATTAGAAAGATGTAACATAAGAATAGTCATTGTCTAATCATAATTTAGACAAAGCAAAGTGTCTTGGTACTCATGTAATTATTTAGTCTAGATACCATCTGAATATGTAAAGTACAAAAAGCAAATTATTATAAAATATAAAAAAATTATAGTAACAATATTTTTATACAGCTAGAAAGTATATTGAAGCAGTACAATTTATCATATAAATAAATAGATAACATATATGTTTATTTATATTTTTCCTGTTGAGATAAGGAGATTAAGGAATGTCAGATGGATGCCATTGACAGTGGGAATTTATAGGCCTGCAATTTGAAAATTGCAACCCAGTAATCATAATATACACAACAACCTGATGAATTAATTTATATATCAAACAAATAGCCAGATTCTTTATTGGACTATTATGGCCAGTTAAGTAATTTGGCTAAAGGTAGCCAGTTAAACCCAGAATCTGACTGTTCCTATGATATCTTAGAAAAATTACTATATATTCTGAATTTATCTAGTTTTAAACAAAACAACATCTGTTATACAATTTAAGAAATTTTCATATTTATGATATGCAATGCAATGACTGAACTAAAAATAATCTTTTAAATCTATATGGTGATGAACATTAAAACAAAAAATCTTTATATTTATACAGCGATTTTTTTTTCTAATTTAGAAAAATCAATTGTCTGTTAACATATAATAGTATACTAATATGATATACTAATTTTCTATTAAGAAATATATTTTCTTGCATTTAGAAATTTATATAACTCTTAATTTTTCTTTCTGTTCAACAGTGTTAAGCCTTTTAGATCTATATGCAATGAATAAATTGATATAAAGCAATTTATTGATATCTGCAATAAAGTTCTAATTAATTTGTTAGCTTTTCAATTCAAAACAATATAATTATTAAAAAAATAATTATTATAGTTTATGTATGGCATATTTATTCTTGCTTTATATAAGACAAACTTTTATATATAATAGCAGAGTAAGAAATAATTGTAAATTATTGATACTATGATGATATTAATCCTTATAATAAAGAGAATAACTTTACTGTTAACTCAATAATTGGTAGTTCCTAATCAAATTATCAGCATAAGTGAATATTTTTATTGTATCACTCTTAGTGTATTGTTTAATTTCATTATTATTAATGTAAAAATGATTTCATGTAGGTCGAGTTCTTCTCGCTCGCCTTCTCCATCCATTTCTCGATCTGCATCTCGTTCACCTTCTCGGTCATTTTCAAGAAGTCTTAGTATGAGTAGCGTATCTTCGGCTTCAAGCAGTTTATCTCATAGTTCAAGTGGTTCTGAGTCGGTAAAAGCTGGTCCAGTGAAGGTATCTTCAAAGAAAGGTAGTAATAATCTTCATAATTTTCTGCAATTTTTTAAAAATTACTTACAAAATCTTTCATAAGAATTTCTTTAATCTCATTTTTTTAAAATCTTTAATAAAATCTCATGAGATTTTAATAAATAAAATAAAGGTAACAGCAGTTTTAAAGCAAAACATCAGAACCAGAAGAAAGTTTATCAAACATTTAAGGTTTGATTAAGATTATTCATTAAATAATTCTTATATTTCACAATACTTAATAAAAAAAATACAAACAATGAAATTCAACAACAGAATTTTTTAGATGTTTAAAATATTTAAACTTGTTGAATTGTATACGGTGTTGGACAAAAACATAAAGTCAAGATGATTTTGATGTTAAGTAAGTAACTGATTACACTACAGCAGAAATTATCTTAAAATAATTACACCTATAGGGAATAACTTTAATGTAATAAACTGGCAATAACATTTTTGCCTTCTATGTTCTTATAAATAATACATTACTGTAAAGCTAATATGCACTAGATGAAAGTATTAAGTCACATCAGTGTAATGCAGTAAATCCACAATTTAATGGACTTAATACAACTAAGTACCATATGTGAAATTTAACTTTCCAACAACAAACAGGATATGCCAAGAGGAATATACAGGACTGAATTTGAGTCTTCATGAAGCATAATTATCTGGTGCTGATATAGCTAAACATATTGGATGCTGTACTGTTAATCACTTATTTGACAAATCTTGTAACCTATGGACAGGCTAAATCAACATCCCACCAGGTAGATATGGTCATTTCATAAAGTGCACATCATCCAGCAAGATTAGGGCCAAATTGTCGCTGAACTGGTTGTCTTTGATTTTGGCACTCTTTGGTGCTGGCAGAAAGACATTTCTGGAATGTATTGATTGTTGTTTCAACTCCACCAAGCATCAGACCTAGGAAATCATCTGCTTCCAAATGGTCCAATCATTTGTGATGATGAATAGATTTTCCAGTAAGACAGTGCTGCCATCTAATCATCACAGTTCACTCATGATTGGTTTGAAGCTAATGGGATTTGACTTTTTCCCTGACCAAGTAGAGATCTCTGATCTTAACCCCACAGATTATACCATGTGCTGTATACAAAGATGAACAAAGTGCAAAAGTTAAGACTGAACTTAAGACTTGATCTTTTAAGCTAGGGGGAAAATCTTACTGTAGTAACTCTCGATTGTACCAATAAAGAACCATTTCCTTATCATTATGATAGTTGAAAGCAGCCCTACAAAATACTAGAGCAGTGATTCTCATATTTATGTTTATAGATCAGGTTTTTCTTATTTCTTATCCCTCAGAGACCAGTAACTTTGTGAAATTAAAAATAAAATTGGTTATAAAACAGAGAACAGAGCTCAAATGCATTTTTAAAGACTGAATTAGAAAAATACAATAATGAAATTTAGTTCTAATCATATTTAGTATATAATTTGTCTACAAGGACTTATTGTACTGATGACTTTGTTCTGCAATTCAAGAAAACATATCAGAAAAAAACGGTCTTTATTTTTCACCTGAACACACATTAAACGATATCATTGTGTTTCGGACCTGTATGTACCTCATCAGCAGGTTTACGAACAACAATTTCTAAAACAAAATATAAAATTACAGCTGTCCGTTGATAGTCCGACATTTTGTAATCTGACATGCTCAGTAGTCCGACGCACCTCCCGTCAAGGTGCCCATCCCCGTTACGTGTCTGCTTGCACAGAAGCATGTTGCGACGTGAATCTCCCCACCCAATTCTTACACAATAACACACATTTCGTGTGTTTTCCATGAGCAGTTCTGTTTGAACAGTTGGAGTAGGGAATATTGTAGGCTACTGCTAGCAAAACAATGCCAAATATGTAATCCCTTTCGGTAATCCGACACCCCTTTGGTTTCATACCTGTCGGATTATCAAGGGACAGCTGTACTACAAAAGTTTATAAAATTTCCGACAGTAAAATAATAAAAGACAAAATAAAACTTACAATTTTTTTATGTTTAAATATATCAACATTCAAAAGCATAAGTAGCACAAATCCAATCATACCTGTAATATTTCTGTATACAATAACAATAGCTATAAGTTACATTCATAAAAGGTAGTTTAAAACATTTTTAAAACTTACATCATCATTACTCGAACATTATCTTATCACAAGATTAACTCTCCTTTTATACCTCCACCCCTCATTCCCTCTGTTGATGATTCTGTTCCATGATTGGTGTATTTCTCTTCCTAAATTGTTGTTCATTTTATTCTTTTGTCTTGCTATGTGGATATGTTCATATAATTGTCTTTTAAAATTGTTTCTTTCCTTTTTCTTTATTTTTATAGTGCTCAAATCTATTTCACAACCTATAGAACAAAGTCATCAGTATAATAAATCCTAGTAATAAAATAAGTCCTTATAGACAAATTATGTACTAAACATAAGATAAGAACACAAAGGCATATAATTTGATTTTTTAGTTCTATCATTTTGTAAAAGTGGATTTGTGGGCTGTTTTCAAGTTATTTCCTGGTGATCAATACAAAAACTTCCTCACTTGTTTCTAGCCATTTATACAGGAGTACGAACGTTTTCAGCCTTCTTAATAGGCCTTCTTCAGGTACACTGTGATCTGTTAGAGCGTCAGTTGGTAGAAGTTTAAACGCTGCCAATGTTTATCTAGGTGGCATCTTACCAGTGACGTCATTGTTGATGATAGGTATAGACGATACCGAGGGCGAAAAATTCTTTTTTTTGGTAAAAAAGAGAGGTGTGCAGATAGTTCATGATGGGGTACTCGCTAAAGTTGGGGAATAAATTGTAAAGTAAGTGTGCTACGTAAAGAAGCACTATCACGATAGGGGGTTAATGGGGAGTGACATCATAGTTGACGCCATAAATAGTTAACGATACAGTAAGAAGAAGTGTGCGAATGACCGTAGATGGGAAAGCACACCTCTTTTTTACCAAAAGAAAGAATTTTGCACCCTCGGTATCGTCTATACCTATCATCAACAATGATGTCACTGGTAAGACGACAGCTAGGTAAACATTGGCAGCGTTTAAACTTCTACCAACCGACGCTCTAACAGATCACAGTGTACCTGAAGAAGGCCGAAAATGTTCATACTCGTGTATAAATGGCTAGAAACAAGTGAGAAAGATTTTGTATTGATCATCTTAAAATAGTTCTAGCTACAAATGCATAGATTTCCTGGTTCTGATTGCCAGTCTAACTCTGACACTAAGTGTTTAAATAATAAAGAAAATCAAAAGTTATAAATTAACATATTGTTAAAATACTTTTAAAAATATATATAGTTTATTACTATATACTATATAAAAATATGAAATTTTAAGTGAAATCTTATTGCAGACCAGTTTGAGTAGCTCTCTATTAGAGCATTTATACTTCATATGCAGTAATGGGTTTATATTTATGTCCAGGTAATGTGTTCATACAATCAAGTTTTTTTTTCAATGAGTATTATCTGCAAGAAATAGTTGATCTAATTCCTAAATGTATATTTTTACATAAGATTTCATACAAGGTTATTATTCAGCTTCCTTAATTACAGAATAATATCTAATGCAGTGTAATTGATTACTCACTTTCCACTTAAATCAACTTGACTGTATGCTTTTCTCCAATGCTATAACAGTACATTGCTGCCTCAGTACAATGCAGTTCAATAGAACATGAACCCACATAAATGAGGATAATCTGTGAATCCCAATTTATCATCCAAATCTTCAGATACTCTGCTTTTCTTTAATCTTATAGGTTACTGAATTCTATTGATAGTTAACAGCACAGTTCAAAATTAATAAGCTTAATTTGCAATATTTTGCTGCCTGTATGCGAAATCTGAAGTTACATTGTTTTGTTATTGCAAAATGTTATTTAATTATTGTATTGTAAATCTCCATGTGTAGCTATTCCTGTAGAAATTACTGATAAGTTTCTGACTTAAAGCTAATAACACATAATAAACATTACACAAGAATATATTTTTGTACGATAAATGTATTTTAGATATTTTTAAAATAGTTTTATATATAATGAAGCTAATACATAAACTTACATTGAAGCAAAAATACAGAATTATAATTTTAAAGTAAATGTCTCTGTTTACCAGATAACAAAAGCTGACTAGGTAAGCAATCTACATTTAAAATTTATGAAAATTATTTTGTTTTTGGTACAATTTAATTTACATAAAATATTGTTCCATTGCATTTCTCTCACACAGAATAAAAAATTTGTATATCAGAATTTATTATAGATTAATGTAATTTCTCTGTTCTATTCAATTCCTGTATTTATAAATCATTAAAAATTATTTAATATTAAAGTTAGCAAATCAATCAATTATTACTATTTTAAGTTTAATTTTTGTTACTAGAACATCAATCTAAACATCTTCAAGGAAACATTGATGCTTCTAAAGAAATTAAGGAGAAAGAAAATGAAAAGGAAAAAAGGATATCAGAGCCAACTGATATTTCCTCACAGGAAAAGAAAATATTAGGCAATAGCACAAAATTGTCTGCTCGTACAACAGTGCAACCAAAATCAAACAAAGATCCATTGAAACAAACTTCACATAAACAGCCAATAAAGTTAACGTTATTAAATAAGGTAAATTAATAAGATAAATTAAATTATTGTGAGTTTAGTTATTCAAAAACTTTTTAATATAATTTTTTTTTTTCCTAGAATTCTGAGAAAGCAGTTCTTAAAAGAGAAAATAATAGTAATAAATTGAGAATAACAGAAAAAGGTATATTATTATTAATAAATGTAATGTGCATTAAGTCCCTATTTTACAGAAGTGATGTTCTAAGTTTATGTTGATATTTAAAATTTATTTTTTTAATGAATTTTGCATTAGTCTTCATGAAAAAAAGGATTATTTTTCATTAAGAGTCTACATAAAATTTCATCTCATTTTATATTTTGGTTTTATAAAATTCTTTCAGTATAATAATTAATTACTGGATTTATCGGGCTATGTTTTGAATACCAGTTTAATTAATTAATAATATAATTTGTCTAAAAACAGATGAATAGGTTGCTGTCTTGCATCAAAATTTAAATTCTGATTTATTTAAATTTGGATGTAACAATTATTCTAGAGTGGGACTGAACCCTCATCATCTGTATATCATGCAGATGTGTTATCAGTTCTATCTGGAGCTCTCCCCAATCTTTACTTCCAGACCTACATTAATTAAAATCATATAACAATACAGATTACAGGCAGCCCTCAACTTTTGCACATAATTGGTTCCTGAAAGTGTGCGTGAATGTTGAATGTTTGAAAGTAGAGGGATGTAAACAAATATGCACCAAAAACTGTATTTAAAATATTTATTGCTTAATTTTACTCTTATTTTTCAAAATTGTGCATATCGTAGATCTGTTTACATGATTGAAGCAAAATACGGTAGAATATTGATTATCCGACGCAATTGGGGTCTGCGGTTGGTCGGATAACTGAAAAATATGAAAAAATACATTATTAGTATAGTATATTAGTATATCCCATGTAATTAGTATATTAGTATATCGCTATTAACCTACTTCACGTTCAATTTTCATCAATGTTAAGCCTAGCAAAAAATTTTTTTTAAATAATAATCATCGCTATTGTATCGTTAAAAATTAGAAAATTAAGCCTTGTTTAAATACTGGCTCCCTTTCATGGTCGAGCCAGTGTTGCCAGCTAAAACACGTAAAAATAATATTAAAGTAGCCAAGACATAGCCAAATATTGTTGCGCCACATCACTAGTGGACATTTGAATTTGCCGACTAGAACGCGGTCGGTTAACCAATATGACGGTTGATCGGGGGTCGGATAATCGATGCTCTACTGTGTTCACTGTTTTCAGAACATTTAATTATTTCCATCTTTATCTTGATCATATGAAGTTTGAGTCCTTAATTTCTTTTTGTTCATATCATCACTGCAGTTTCTCTGTTTTTCACTTGTGATTGTCAATTTATAAGGACAAAATATTTAAACATAAACAAATAAATTAGTAAAACATACAACACGTTGACTCACGCCCTAATTTAAGACTGAAAATGTTTTGAACTTTGCTCAGAACAACACAATAGTGATTAGGATTCCAAGAAGTCCATTATTGTAGGAAGTAATATGTGTTTGAGTACATAGAGCGTGTTACCGTACTTTTTAGTGTGTGAGCTTTCTGCATGGAAGGAAATTTTTCATTATCAACAAAAATATTTAAAAAGTTAAATTTTTAAAATTGTGCAAAAGTCAAGGGCCGCCTGTAATTGACATTTTCAGTGGATTTTCAATATGATGATAATTTATTGAAAGTATCAAGAGTAGAAAGTAAAATTTGAATATTTATTTATTATATTTGTGTTTTTATGTAAAGTACTTTTTCTAATTAAATCAAAATCAGATTGATTTGTTAAAGCTTAAATTTAATATTTCCAGTTGATGACCGTAATAGGGCAACTGCCATTGTTACTTCAACAAATAATAGCCGAAAACGGCAGGCATCACCTCCAAGGCCTAATATTAAAGCAGCTTCTACTCCATCAGCTCCAGCTGCTAATGTAGTAAATACTGTAAAAAAATCAACTACATCTAGAAGGGAAGAACTATTAAAACAGTTAAAAGCAGTAGAAGATGCTATTGCTAGAAAAAGGTCTAAAATGAGTTAGAGACATTACTAATGACAAACTGAAATTCCTGGTAATTTACGTAATCACCTGCTCAACTGTCTTCAAGAGAAACTCTTAATATGAAAGAATTAGAAACAGTGGAGCACAAGATAACAACAGCACAAGCAAGTTCTGTTATCTTTGGTGTACAGATTAAAATCCAGCGAGGTACCAGATAAAGGTGGACAGCATCTAATAAGATGCAGATGTGTAGATGTAATTGGAAGTTTTTTATCCCAACGATAAAATGTTTTGTACATGAAATGGTGGAATCGTTTAGGGCTGATGTAGTTATTTCATCAGAACTTATCAAAATGCCGGATGCAATTTTCTGTTACATTTTCAGTCACCACAAGAAATGTACATAGATCATATGTTTTGTTTTGTCTTAATTTTTTTTTAATTATAACAATAATAATGTGCTATTATTATTGTTGCTACCCATCTTCATAATTTGTTAGTTTTTATTCTCTTTATTAATTCTTTTTTCGTGTTTAGGTTTATGAAATTGATGAGAAAAACAATATTTGGTAGAAAGTTAACAGCTTAAATTTAAATTCCCTGTCTGTTTCTATTGAATTCATCTGTTAAAGTAAACATCGGTGTTTTCAAGTCACAAAACAAAAATTGTGAATATGTACAACTCACAAAATGTCAATTCAACTAAATCATTCAATAAAACTTTTAAAAAAGAATTATTAAATCTTTATTCTTTTCAAAATTATTCTCAATTATTAATTTACATGTTGAACAAAAGCCAAAGAGAAATCATATTATTTTGAGTTTGCTTATTAATTTCCAATTAAAAAAGCTAAACTGAGAATTGTTTGCAGTATAAATATAAACAGGATATGTAAAATTGTTAGTTATCCATCTTAGATTTTATGTACTGGGAGTTAGCATAACCTGTGCTAATATTTTAATTTTTTTTATCCATAAGAAAATTCTTTATTCTGTAGTCAAAACCTTTTACATAATTTCTAATCAACATAAAGTATCAGTGAAGCAAAATTCAGTTATTTGGATGTGAAAAGTTCAGATAAATAACCATAAAATATTCAGTTAAGCATATATATTTTTAATGTTTTCAACATTGTAAAATGTCATCTTCAGGTCAAACTGTTTGCTTCACTGATAACTTTGTGGTATATGCCTTTATACATTGAATATAAATGTTTTATTTTATTTGGCAAAATTTCTATTTTCTGTTTACTAAAATTAGTTATGAAATGGAATTTTTTTAATGAATGTTTTAGCTTCATTTAAGTTAAATTCTTGTCTCACTTCCAATTATTACATTCAGTAACATAATGATTGTGAAACAGATTAGTACAGGATGGTCAAGATCTAAACTATCCTATATATTATAAGACTAAATTGTACTGCTTAAATTATTTTATTCATTTAAATATTTGCAATAAAATTTCCATAAATAAGATATTTGGCATCCTAATCAGAAAGTATCTCTATTTTTATTAAAATTAAAATAAAGTAGGGATCTCCCAAAATGAATGCTGCTATTATAAATTACTGTAATTATATTAATTATTATCCAAAAAGTATGCAATGTACAAAAATTGATAGAGAACTGTTCCAAGTTTTATTTCCCATCTGCATTCAAATGTCTTGTCTACTGCCTCTAGGAAGCACTGTAAATGAAAATGGCCACTCTTCAATAGAGAAAGCATTTTGTGTTCTGTAGTTTGCAAAGTCAGAATCATTCACTATTGTGCATTATGAGTAATCTGCAGGAGCTGCAAAATTGCACCTGTTGTGGGAGGAGTGACAACAGGTTTGCTGTAGTGAATGTGAGAAGAATTTGAGTATTGATTGATTTCTCAATATGACACAAGGTGACATATTGAAAAATTGTAATGGAAAAGTATGAAATTCGGAAAGTTTACCAATGTTTTAATGTATGTTAATGTATGCATAATAATTAACATAGTGACAATAATTTAAAATATTAGCATTCTTTTTGGAAGATCCTTATTTATCATTTAAATAAATATGCTGTTTATTCTCTTGTATAAATATTTTCTTACAATTGGTTTAAATAATATAATATCAATAATAGTAATATTATTATTATAATTTAGTAAAAAACAAATCTGCAACTTAAAAATCAACATAATTTAAATCAGTCAGAATTTTTTTGTTTAATCAAATGCTTTAGGATAAACATGACATTTTATAAATGTTCAAAATTAAAAGTGTTTTAAATAATGTGTGATCTCAATTTTTATCTTTACATCAATCAAATTTTAAGAGTAATCATTCTTTTAGAACATTAAAAAAATTAAAGTGATGGTAAAAAATATTTCTGATCATAGTTTTCAGCATTCTTGCTAACAATTCCAATTTCTGTTGCAATTGAAACTTTTTTATGACCAATCTTATATTTATCTTTTTTATTTAGTATGTCTTGTTTTCTGCTAGTTGTCCTATATTTGCTAATATGCCATTTTAATAATTTCTTAACTGGAATAAGTGTAAAAATAAATTCCAGCCTGTTCCAGCAAAAATCTTTTAATTTTTTAAAGTTTTCAGCTATCTACGTAGCCATCATCAGGAACGAACATAGCTGAAAACATTAGAAAATTTAAAAATTTTTGTTGGAACAAGCTGGAATTTTTTATTTTTAAAATAATTAGGATTTGAATTAGACCAGCTGGAGTATGCATGTATTGATTATATAAATAATTAGCTAGTCATATATAAAAAATTAATTTTTAATGTTATCAATTTATTCATCATAAATAAGTAGTGAGGACAATAAATTTTTTATAGCATTCACAAATGTCAGATGGAAGTGAGAGGGTAAAGGTGCCAACCTGTTACTCTGGTGACTTGAATTTGAGTGTGGAATTGGAATTGGAAATTTTCATGTGTAATGTTTTTCTGCCCATTGATAGCCAAGTGATAAAGCCACTAAACACTGGTTGCACCCAACTGAAAGGCTGACTATTTCCCAGATTTTCCTCACATCATTTAAATGGGGGCCAGTTTCGTGGTAAACCATGTGCATTTTCTTATCCTATCAATCCAATCCCTCATTGCCCATCTGCTCTCATGTGAGTTTAGCCAAATCCATGATGGACATGATTAAGAGTACCCTCTAAGTACAGGTAACCCTCGTATAACACGGTAGTTACGTTCCAAAAAATTGCTGTGTTATGCGAATCCGTGTTATACGAAACAAAGAACTAATACGAAAAGGAGGGTTAGGTTCCAAAAATTAAAAAACATGCTAGTATATTTTCATAATTAAGATAAATATCTTCATTAAAATTTTTTTAAGTGATACATATTAATATAAATTAAACAATGTTTTCTTCGTCATCACTAAAAACACTATTAATTAACCGAGAGCGTTTTCTTTTTGGCAAGTTATCCTTATCCTCTGAGCATTTTTCTGCATTATCTTCAGATCCATGCTTTACCTTTTGCAAAATGTATGTAATTTTAGATTGCTTGCTTCTAGTTAAAAGGTCTTTATAAATTTCCTTATATGGTGCTAAGCACTTATGAAGAATAAAGCAAGTATGGAATAAGGGAAAAACATTCGGCAACATCAGAAGCAGAAGCGTCGCGATCTGGCAACATTGAAACAAGTTTCGAGAAGGACCACGTGTATCAACAGAAGGCGAGAAGAGAAAATTTACATACTTAAGTACTAATAGTTCACGAAAATAATAATTTTCGTGAACTATTATTACTTAAGTATGTAAAAATTTATTACATTTCCTGTTGTATGAGGGTTTTACCCAATTCTCGAACCGTGTCAGAGTGATCCGTGCTATAAAAGTACTGTGTTATACGGGGGATGGTACCAATACTCAAACCGTGTTAGAGTGAATCCGTGCTATAGAAGTGCCGTGTTATACGGGGGATGGTACCAATACTCAAACCGTGTTAGAGTGAATCCGTGCTATAGAAGTGCCGTGTTATACGGGGGTTACCTGTATTCACAAAATGAAAAGATTCAAAACACACACACACACACAACGTAAAACCCATTATATTTGCAATGATGGCTAAACATCAATTATAAAATTAATACCAGCTAGAAGGCTGAAGCAACAAAAGTCTGTTTTCAGAGGATCTAGAATTGGAATTGGCATGATCAGCCATCTAATACACATTACTACTATTCAATTTTCTTACATTTTAGGAAGTTTATTTTGAGTAAATTATTAGAGCAATAAAACTTATAAACAATTTATTCCATTATACAAATTAAAATCACCTCTCTTTGATTTTTCCTGGATTCTTCACATCTTGCAGTTATGAGGAATTATGGTACTCCCTCAATATAGAGTGGTTTGGCTCATATTTGTTGTATTCTATTCCTTATAGATTCAATTATAGATCAAGTTAATTGACAAAATTAAAGCCACCTTTAATGTGTTAGTGCCTTGTATCAATCAATCAAACTAAATTATACTTAATCTTTTTTGTGAGAATTACAGACTGTATGCAATGTAAAATTGTTAGTAGTATAGTTTTTAAGTATTATTTTAATTATCCCAATCAAGTGCTAGTTTGCTCCATATTCATTATTAAGTTTTAAATTTAATAATTTGAAATTTATGGTTAAAACCCTTATTATTTACAAAATAACTTGAACTTAACCTTGAGGAATCTATTTTTGTTAAAATAAATTATTATTACTGCTTAAATTATTTTATTCATTTAAATATTTGCAATAAAATTTCCATAAATAAGATATTTGGCATCCTAATCAGAAAGTATCTCTATTTTTATTAAAATTAAAATAAAGTAGGGATCTCCCAAAATGAATGCTGCTATTATAAATTACTGTAATTATATTAATTATTATCCAAAAAGTATGCAATGTACAAAAATTGATAGAGAACTGTTCCAAGTTTTATTTCCCATCTGCATTCAAATGTCTTGTCTACTGCCTCTAGGAAGCACTGTAAATGAAAATGGCCACTCTTCAATAGAGAAAGCATTTTGTGTTCTGTAGTTTGCAAAGTCAGAATCATTCACTATTGTGCATTATGAGTAATCTGCAGGAGCTGCAAAATTGCACCTGTTGTGGGAGGAGTGACAACAGGTTTGCTGTAGTGAATGTGAGAAGAATTTGAGTATTGATTGATTTCTCAATATGACACAAGGTGACATATTGAAAAATTGTAATGGAAAAGTATGAAATTCGGAAAGTTTACCAATGTTTTAATGTATGTTAATGTATGCATAATAATTAACATAGTGACAATAATTTAAAATATTAGCATTCTTTTTGGAAGATCCTTATTTATCATTTAAATAAATATGCTGTTTATTCTCTTGTATAAATATTTTCTTACAATTGGTTTAAATAATATAATATCAATAATAGTAATATTATTATTATAATTTAGTAAAAAACAAATCTGCAACTTAAAAATCAACATAATTTAAATCAGTCAGAATTTTTTTGTTTAATCAAATGCTTTAGGATAAACATGACATTTTATAAATGTTCAAAATTAAAAGTGTTTTAAATAATGTGTGATCTCAATTTTTATCTTTACATCAATCAAATTTTAAGAGTAATCATTCTTTTAGAACATTAAAAAAATTAAAGTGATGGTAAAAAATATTTCTGATCATAGTTTTCAGCATTCTTGCTAACAATTCCAATTTCTGTTGCAATTGAAACTTTTTTATGACCAATCTTATATTTATCTTTTTTATTTAGTATGTCTTGTTTTCTGCTAGTTGTCCTATATTTGCTAATATGCCATTTTAATAATTTCTTAACTGGAATAAGTGTAAAAATAAATTCCAGCCTGTTCCAGCAAAAATCTTTTAATTTTTTAAAGTTTTCAGCTATCTACGTAGCCATCATCAGGAACGAACATAGCTGAAAACATTAGAAAATTTAAAAATTTTTGTTGGAACAAGCTGGAATTTTTTATTTTTAAAATAATTAGGATTTGAATTAGACCAGCTGGAGTATGCATGTATTGATTATATAAATAATTAGCTAGTCATATATAAAAAATTAATTTTTAATGTTATCAATTTATTCATCATAAATAAGTAGTGAGGACAATAAATTTTTTATAGCATTCACAAATGTCAGATGGAAGTGAGAGGGTAAAGGTGCCAACCTGTTACTCTGGTGACTTGAATTTGAGTGTGGAATTGGAATTGGAAATTTTCATGTGTAATGTTTTTCTGCCCATTGATAGCCAAGTGATAAAGCCACTAAACACTGGTTGCACCCAACTGAAAGGCTGACTATTTCCCAGATTTTCCTCACATCATTTAAATGGGGGCCAGTTTCGTGGTAAACCATGTGCATTTTCTTATCCTATCAATCCAATCCCTCATTGCCCATCTGCTCTCATGTGAGTTTAGCCAAATCCATGATGGACATGATTAAGAGTACCCTCTAAGTACAGGTAACCCTCGTATAACACGGTAGTTACGTTCCAAAAAATTGCTGTGTTATGCGAATCCGTGTTATACGAAACAAAGAACTAATACGAAAAGGAGGGTTAGGTTCCAAAAATTAAAAAACATGCTAGTATATTTTCATAATTAAGATAAATATCTTCATTAAAATTTTTTAAGTGATANAAGTATATATATTACCAAGGAGACTACTTTGAAGGGGATTAGGGTTTTGTACCTCAAAGTCAATAAATTTATTTTTGCCGACCAAAGGTCCGATACTTTTTGAACAGACCATGTATGTTAAGATGTTTAAGTTCTACCAGGGCTGTGGAGTCGGAGTCGTGGAGTTTTGGTGTTTTAGTCGGAGTTGGAGTCGGTACATTT